CAAAGCCGAACACCCCCCCCCACACACAGATAACTAAAACAAACCAAGAAAGATTAGCATAACGACAAATAACAAACTTTGACGTTCTTTACTGACCTGCTTTATTTTATAAATGAAGAATTTTTTTTACCAACAACTAAAACATCTCAGAGCGGTGCACCAATCCCTGCATTAAAATATTTGCACAAAACATGTTTAAACGAAGTGACAGAATGTTTCTGGTCAGGTGAAAGAGCAGAYCTTTCTAAACGTTTCAGTTTGAGGTCCATTAACAAGACGGTCTGATGGGTTTCAGAGCAGACATATCAGGTTCTGGTTCCTACAGGTTTTAAAATAAAAGCTGAAGAACCTTCAGAAGTCTAGAAAGAAAATGTTTTATAGCTTTTAGTTCCAGAACAAACATCAATGATCAAGGTTAAAACATTCCACCTGTCCATCATGACTTTACAACAGTCTTTAACTAACCATAATAAATTAAGGTTKATTAATGTTGAATTGATTGAATATATGTGAGTGAAGAGATGGAAAGGCTTACGGTGGGATTAGGGGAGTGTGTGACAATCAAGCAACAGCTGGTAACAGTCAGGTCCTCCGAGGCCAATCTGCTTTCAGAGAGGTCCTGAGACCAGTTTAACTTTTTGATGAGGTGATGTCCTTGACTTGGACTAATCTTGTTTGCAGTTTCCTAAACAACTGTCGACAARGCGTTAAGCATCCGTCAGACAGAGTTTAAGGCGAGTCAATACCGAAACAATCTGTTGTCTGAGTCGACAGAAGTAACGCCTACGTGGAAGATTCGATGGATTTTAGAGACCTCCGACAAACACTTATGTATAATCATCTTTTCTTCTATAAAGGTTGACAACATCCTTAAAAACTAAACTTATATCTGGGTGAATAAATAAGGCTGAGCTGAAAAAGACACAGAATTATTCAGCTGAATTTTGTGTTACAGCAGATCCTTTTTCTTTCATAAAAGTCTTTTATAGAAGTTAAACACATATAAAAACAGACTTTAATAATCATATTTATAACTGCTTTATTGTTAATAAAGGTTCTGATAAAATCATAGACTTACCTTGTTTGTCAGACTGAATGCCATCATGCTATCAGTTTGAATATAAACATGTTGGAAGAATAAATCCACTTGAAAATTTCCTGAGTGAACATCTGCCCAACCCTCCTGAAGTGGATTCCAGGTATTCCTGACACAGAACCGATGTGGCTCAATGGGTTCTGCAGAAYAGAGCCTCTCACTCACAGTTCTACAGTCCGGGTATTTTACCCGGACCATAGCCTCCCTGTCAGAGGCAGCTAACTGTAGTGGCTCAGAGGCAGCTTTTACACCAATATATTCCCTCCCTGATTGATCACTTTGGGACACGGGGGTTCAAAGCCGGTCATGAACAATATTTGGATGTGAGGAATCTCTTCCACCCAGGGGCCCTCGATTAACACGGCGCTCAGTGCCAGATGACCCCGGCTACTCCGCGTTACCTGACAAGGCCACATTAGTTGAACCTTTCACATTAAAATGCAGGTTAAGCTCAGGCGGACAACAGAAGGCTCCCAGGTTAGGGTTGAAGTCAGAGCAGATTATTCTCATCTTCACAATGTTCAACTTCAGACTGTTTTACACACAACTCTTAGTTTTATCTGGTTTCCTTTAAAGCCAGATCTGCAGAACCAGACCCCCTCTTTACAGCTGAGCTTTCTGACAGACCTGACACAGAACCTGCTGATGAAATTAAATATTAAACATTAAATATTCTATTGGAGAAATCTTGTATATACACGCATGTTCACAACTGCTACTGATGAACCTGACACTAGACCTACTGATGGATCTGACATTAGACCTACTGATGAACCTGACACTAGACCTACTGATGGATCTGACATTAGACCTACTGATGAACCTGACACTAGACCTACTGATGGACCTGACACTGGACCTACTGATGAACCTGACCCTAGACCTACTGATGGACCTGACACTGGACCTACTGATGGACCTGACACTGGACCTACTGATGGACCTGACACTAGACCTACTAATGGACCTGACACTGGACCTACTGATGGACCTGACACTGGACCTACTGATGGACCTGACACTAGACCTATTGATGGACCTGACACTGGACCTACTGATGGACCTGACACCGGACCTACTGATGGACCTGACACAGGATCTACTGATGGACCTGACACTGGACCTACTGATGGACCTGACAGTGAACCTACTGATGGACCTGACAATGAATTTACTGATGGACCTGACAGTGATCCTACTGATGGACCTGACACTAGACCTATTGATGGACCTGACACTGGACCTACTGATGGACCTGACACCGGACCTACTGATGGACCTGACACAGGATCTACTGATGGACCTGACACTGGACCTACTGATGGACCTGACAGTGAACCTACTGATGGACCTGACCATGAACCTACTGATAGACCTGACAATGAACCTACTGATGGACCTGACAGTGAACCTACTGATGGACCTGACAATGAATTTACTGATGGACCTGACAGT